GGGGGGACATGGAAACAGGATGGGACACAGGAGACAGGAGGGGACATGGGGGACAAGAAGGGACATGAGGGATAGGAGGGGACATGGTGGGGGAGTGAATCTGAGAGTGTAGGAGGGAACAGGGGATTCTGTGGGGATGGGTGGACATAGGGACAGGATGGGACATGGGGGACAAGGTGGGACACGTGGGGATGGAGGGGGCATGGAGGGACATGAAGGGACATGGGGACACATGGGAGACAGGAAGAGACATGGGGGGACAGGAGGGGACATGGGGACATGGGTGGGCAACCAAAACCTCAGGAGGGGACAGGAGGGGACGCCCAAGACCTTAGGGGACAGGAGGGGACAACCAAGCACCCAAGGGACAGGAGGTAACATGGAGGGGACAACCAATACCCAAGGGACACAGCACTGTAGGTGTCATGGGAGCAGCCGTGCCTCAGTTTCCCCACCCAGCCGTGCCAGCAGGTCCCATCTTGCCCATTGGGTGAGGGCAGTGGGTGGCCCCTTGTGTCAGGGTCCCCTGGGAGTGGCCGAGGGGGCTCCCATGGGTACCTCCACAGTCCCATGGGTGCCTCCCATGTCCTGTAGGTGCCCCCCAGGTCCCATGGATAATCCCCATGTCTCATAGGTGCCCCCAATATCCCATGGGTGCCTCCAGGTCCCAAGGGTCCCACCTTGTTGGGGTGCACGGCGCGGCGCAGGTTTTCGATCCAGCGGTCACGCTCGGCCAGGGACGAGCACCCAAAGGAGTGGCTGCCCTCGCCCGTGATGACCTGGGGGTGCAGGGAGGGGGTTTTTGGGGTGTGGAGTTTGTGGGAAGCACCTTGGGGTGACTCGCAGGGGCTACATTGGGGTGGCTATGGCTAAGGGTGGTGCTGGGGTGTGCTTTTGGGGTGCTCAGGGGGATGCTCTAGGTGCCTGTTTGTGGGGTTTGGGGTGCTCTGGGTGCACCTCCGATGTGTCCTGGGGTGCCCTGGGTGCCTCTGCAGGATAATTGGGGTGCCCTGGGTGCCTTTCTAGGGTGCCTGGGGTGCTCTGGGGTCCCTTTTAGGGTGCCTGGGGTGCTTTATGTGCCTCTGTAGGGTGCCTGGGGTGCTCTGGATACCTCTTTAGGGTGTCCTGGGGTCCCCTTCACATTGCCTAAGGTGCCCTGGGTGGCTCTTTAGGGTGTCCTGGGTGCCTCTTTAGGTCTCTCTGTGTGCCCTGGATACCTTTCTAGGGTGCCTTGGGGTGCTCTGGGTGCCTCTTTAGGGGGCTCTGGGTGACTCTTTAGGGTGCTCTGGATGCCTTGGGGTCTCCTCCAAGGTGATTGGGTGCCTCTCCAGGATAACTGGGGTGCCCTGGGTGCCTCTCTGTGGTGTTTTGAGTGCCCTGGATGTCTCTTTAGGGTGCCATGAGGTGCCCTTTATGTTGCCTGGGGTGCCATAGGTGCCACCTAGAGTATCCTGCATGCCCTGGGTAGCTCTTTTGGGCGCCCTGGGTGCCCTAGGGTCCCTTTCAGGATGCCTGGGGTGCTTCTCCAGGATAACTGGGGTGCCCTGGGGTCCCCTTCATGTTGCCCAGGGTGCCCTGGGTGCCTCTCTGGGATGTTTTAGGTGCCCCAAGTGCCTCTCCAGGATGATGGGGGTGCTTTGGGTGCCTCTCTAGGGTACTTAAGATGCCCTGAATATCTCATTAGGGTGCTGTGGGTTCCCTGGGGTCCCATTCAGGGAGCTCTGGGTGCCCTAGATTCCCTTTCAGGTTGCCTGGGGTTCCTCAGATGCCTCTCCAGGATAATTGAGGTGCCCTGGGTGCCTCTTTAGGGTGCCTGGGGTGCTCTGGATACCTCTTTAGAGTGCCCTGGCGTCCCCTTCAGGTTGCCTGGGGTGCCCTGGGTGCCTCTCTGGGTTGTTTTGGGTGCCCTGGGTACCTCTTTAGGGGGCTCTGGCTACCCTAGGGTCCCATTCAGGGTGCCTGGGGTGCCCTGGGTGCCTCTGGGGTGTTTTGGGTGCCCCATGAGCACCCCGATGTGTGTGTCTACCCCCCATACCCCCCCATTACCTGGAAGCTGAATCTCTCCCCCACTACGCTGCCGTGCAGGGGCCGCACGATGACGTCAGCCCCAGTCAGGTCCAGTTCGGCTGCACTGGGAGGCACCGGGGGCAACCTACGGCCATAGGGGGGAAATGGGGGTCACCCACGTGTGTCCCCACCACCCCAATGTCGCCACCCCCCTTCCCCTGTACCTCTCGCCATTGGGGACCTCAGATTTGGGAATCCCACGGCTTTTCCTGTCCCGGAGCCTCTTCCATAGCAGCCCCTGGGTAAAGGGGGGGGTTGTGGCACC